CTCTGGCTAATCTATTGCAGCAAAGATACATTGGTTTTGCATAAGTAAAGCCTCCTAACCCCTTATCATTTCCACCCTGGCATCTCAGACATTAGAGTGATGAGTGGTCAGTGATAAGGAGAAGAGGAGCCCAGAGGGGGAAAAGAGAAAACAGACAAGGCAGGTGTTAACCAACAAAATTAGGACAGCAGCCTATGGTTGTTAAAATTAGGACTCAGCACCTGAGTTCTAAACTCTCTTCTACCACCGAGTGACTTGGGCATCAGTTCGTTCAGCTATAAAGTGATCAAGTTGGATTCAACTATTGCTAAAGTCCCCCCGGCTCTCAAGTACTGCATTGCTCTCTGCGGTTTAAGACTCCTTTTCCTTTCAACTGAAACCCCCTCTTAAAAAAATAAGATATCACTATTTGATTTGGCCCAAATGTCACTGACCATAAGCATCATCTCTAGCCACATCCTGGGAAGACCAGAAGCCCCAACAATGCCTTAAAACTGACATCTTCCCCGGGGGCGCCTGGGTGGTTCAGTCGGTGAAGCGTCTGCCTTCGGCTCAGGTCATGATCCCAGGGTCCTGGGATGGAGTTCTGCATCAGGCTCCTGGCTCAGCCGGGACCCTCCTTCTCCCTCTCCCTCTGCTCCTCCTTCCCCCAGTTGTGTGCATGCTCTCTCTCTCCACTGAATACATAAAATCTTAAAAAAAAAAAACCACACAAAAAAACAAAACAAAACAAAAAAAACAAAAGAAAAACTGGCATCTCCCGTATCTGAAAGGGAACATGGGCTGGAACACACTGTCATGAGGACTATCTCTGCAGACTTCAAAAATGAGGCCTGCACATGTCTACTTTGTAGAACAGCCTGGCTGACTTTTGACCTGATGTATTATTATTTGAAGCAGCTTACTGACACTGCCAATTACATCACACATTATAGAACACACATCTTGTAATTGAACCACAGATAGTGCCAAGCAACATAAAGAATCCAGGAAATACATACTTAAAATGTAAACCGCTCAAACAGAAGAGCTACTGAAGGATCTGGAAGTACATAGGCAAATGGCTTCTCTGAGGTCAAACAGTCACAGTTTAGGATTCTTCAGAGGCTGCTGCCACGGACTTGCTTTTAAAAGCCTCAGTAGCTTCTTAAGACATCACATTAAACAAAAGGCCACATCTATTTCCTCCAATAAAGAGCTAGCCTAATATTACTCGATATGTTTAGGACACAGAAATAAAGCATGCCTTCCAGAGGTTGGAAAGAAAGAAAAACAGCCTTTTAGAATTAGTAGTTACCACTCCAATCTGAAGCTTGTCCTGTCCTTTTCAATCGTTGCAGAGAAACAATTAATAAAGGAACCCATTAAGACCTGATTATTGCTGCTAAAAAAGGAAGGTAGAATTTCAGTCCTTTGAAGTAACTGAGAATGATTCAGGCCTCATTACAGAGATATAATCTACATTCATACATTTATGTTAGTGATTCAAATCTATTGGGAGAGATTGAATTCCGTTAAATAGTGCATCTTTCCTGTGGAACTTTTCTCAGGCTTTCTCGGGCTAACCTAAGAGGTGACCTAACAATGCAAAGCAGCAGAGTATTTAGGGATTCAACTGTGCTATAAAAGAAAGGCTGTACAGAAAAGAAAAAGAACAATGAGATATAATCTAAAAAGCTATGTCAGCTTTTCCTTCGGGCTGTTTTGTAAATGCCCTTCCTGTCATCACGCTGTACAGAAGAACGGCAAAAGGACTCTAGTTTTAAACACTGCACCTGCTGCAACCACATTTTAATATGGAAGTTTGATGAAGTGTTTTGTTTTGTTTTGTTTTCCCCATTTCAAACAGAGTAAGAACACAAAACTTCTCACAAAGATCTGAATCGCCTTCTCTGCTGGAGCAGAAAGTCGGTAGGTGTGGGGGTGAGGGGGTAGAGGGGAGACGAGCTTCAGTGTAGGAGGGGGTGTCTATTGTGAGTTTTAAAAAAAATTAAAAGGATCTCAAGCTGGCATCAATAGTGTTGATGCCCAGTGTAGAGAAACCTCAAAATTATAACTTCCTATATTTTGTAACTTTTCACAGCAGAATCTTTACTGTATGGTTTCATCAAACATTAAAAAAACATGCAGTTTTAATTAGTTGTCAATTCAAACATTTGGATTCTACTGAACAATTGGGCTGAAACTCAAGTCCCTTAGAAACATTATACTTTCTCTCAGGCATTTGTTAGCTCAGGTATAAAACTGTGAACTAGAAAATTAAATTAGCACAGTGATTTCATTTTTAAACATCCATGCTTTAAGAAAAGAACAAAACTTTGAGCATACGAATGACGTATGTTCTTTAACTTTCCAATTAATGGCTACAGAAATCAAAACTGATTCTATTAAATTAAAAAGCCTACTGTGCTATTCACCACATTGTCAAAATCTTTTCAGTAAGCATTGCAATTGGTTATAAACAAATGCAATTAAAATCCTGATTCTAGCATTACATGGTTCTATTTCAAAGGCTCTGAATGCGTAGGAAAATAAAAGCGCATGCATGCAAAGTCATTTTTTTCAGGTCACTAAACAACATAATTGGGCAATCATTCCTAATGCCCATCTCTAAAGCTAGATTTTTTTATTTCTCTGTATTTTCTCCTGTTCACAATGAAGACTGAGGTCAAATGCACATTACAGGGATTCTGGCTTGTTGTATATACACCAGTTCTTCTGATTAGCTCCCTTGGAGTTACAGTTACAGAGGTCAAACTCCCAAGTTCACCTTGAAGTGATTCTCCATCTTAGAATAGCAGTCTAACTATTAAGTTTGGTGAACCATATGAAATTGCCACTTGGGAAGGTCAAGAAATATAAAATAGTGGCAATTTCATATGCTTCAACATAACACGAATGTCTAACCGCCTTACCGAAGGTAAATATTTTACACCATTACCTCTTCCGTTACTCCTCCCAGTCAAGCCTTCCCTAGTACAGAGTAGTTCTCCTAGTGATCCTCTAGGAACTATCTCTTAACTCGGATCGAACCGATTATCACAGTTACTTGCCTCTCGTGCCTCTTAATCCCTGGCAAGGTTTCCTAGCCAGGGATTTGGTTCTGTCTATATCTGGGTTGTGAGCGTCCCTAGCAATGAGGGTGTTGCGACGTGGTGAGTGTGAGAAAGAGGGAGAACTGGTAGTGCAGCTGTATCGTAAAACCGAGCCCTCTTAACACTAAATGTAAAGACAGAAAAAAGAAGACGCCCCTTTTATGGCAAAGTGCAAAGGAAATCGCATAGAAAACAGCAGAACATTCGGCCAAATCCTATGGGTAAATCTTCGCAATCTCAATAAAGTGCGTTCGCTTTGAAGTGCACGCGTGATTCAGTAAAGGACTCATGCTAGCAATTAGAAATTGGTCTTTTCGGTCCCCCATTTCATTTGCGCCAAGAGAGAGGCGACTTTTAAGGGTGACGATAAATCTCCCTGAGCTTAAAAGGCAGAGAGGGCCAAAGTGTGAACTTTTTACTTCGGCAACGGAAGCGAGAAATCAGTGATTCATTAAAGCAGAGACCTCCTTGGAAGCTGGCAGAAGAGGAGGAAAAGAAGCTAATTATGTCTCCCTTTTCTGTGCTCACTCCGACCAGTTTATAATCTGCTGCTTTAGAGGGTTTATCCACAGCATCTTCTGCTTTCTCCCCCAGCCCTCCCCTCCTTCTGGGAGCCAGAGGGGGGTTAAAAACAGTCAGCCAAGCACCAAGCTCCAGGTGGCTCTGAAGAACTTCACTGCCAAAAGAAGGGAGAAAAAAAAAAAAAATCCTACGCTGGAAAACAAGTGAGAAGGGGGCTCCCCAGAGGGGACTGGTTCAGGCTGGAGACAGCAAACTTGGGAAAGCCCGAGGAGCCAGCTCGCGCTGGTGGCCAGCGCACCACCGCCACTTTGCAGCAATTCGCCAGAGCTGGAGGCGCGGGGCGGAGGCTGCCTGCGGCCGCGGGGCCACAGGGAAGGGACCCGGCAGCCCCCGGCTCCGCGCGGAGGCATCGCGCTCTCCCCTCCTTGCTCCCCTACTCTCCCCCCCCCTCTTGGCCCCCTCCCCCTCCCGCTCCCTGGCGTTCCCAGCAGCCGAGGGTTTCAGATGTCCCACCGCCGTTTGACCCCCTCCCCCCGCTTCTCCACCCCTGCAAATGAGGTCTGACCAGCAGAGGCAGAGCCCACCTCTGGCTTAGAATCACTGACATTTAGACTCCAGGCTTCAACCTGTTTACAAGCGGGCTTTCCAAAGGAAGGGGGTGGGGGGGGGGGGAGGGAAAGAGGACCAAACAAAACACCAGCCGCCATCTCCCCCAAACAAGAAGTGACTTTCTGGAGGCTTCAAATCAACAGGCACCACCAAAAAGAGAAAGCAAGACGGGGAAGGAAACATCGGCGACCGGCAGCTTGCCTCCAGTTCTGACAACTGCAAAGGGACGCGCTTTTAGAACTGGCTAGCGGGCTGGGGCTCTGCGGAGAGGGACCAGAAGGTGCCAAGCCCAGAGAGGCGCAGACATCGCCCCCAGCCTCCCACCCCAACCTCTGTGGGTTTTGTTCACCGTGCTGTCATCTGTTTTTCAGACCTTTTTTTGCATCTACCATGGTGAAGAAAGGGGTGAGGAAGAGAACAAAGTAACTCCTAGAGGAGTGAATACCGCTGGTCACCACCACCGCCGCCGCCACCGCCACCAGCACCACCACCACCGCCACCACCAGCTCCTGCCATTGCGGCCACCCACGTCCACCATTCACCGGGAGACTCGAGAGGCGCTCGGCGGCGGGCCCGAGAAAGGAGCCAGGAGAGGCAGCCGGCCCTTCCAAGGAGTTATGGATGTTGGTGCATTCACTTCTGGCCAGATCTGCGCCCCGAGGGAGCTAACCAGCGGCCGCCACCTCCAGCTGTCTCCTTGCCTCGCACCAGGTCTTACCCTTCCAGTATGTTCCTTCTGATGAGACAATCTCCAGTGCCGAGAGTTTCAGTACAATGTGGAAATGGATACTGACACATTGTGCCTCAGCCTTTCCCCACCTGCCTGGCAGCGGCTGCTGCTTCCTGTTGCTGTTCTTGGTGTCTTCCATCCCTGTCACCTGCCCAGCCCTCGGTCAGGGCATGGTGTCACCAGAGGCCACCAACTCCTCTGCCTCCTCCTCCTCGTCCTGGTCCTCCGCGTCCTCTTCCTCCTCCTCCTCTCCTGCTAGTGCGGGGAGGCACGTGCGGAGCTACAATCACCTCCAAGGAGATGTCCGCTGGAGAAAGCTCTTCTCTTTTACCAAGTACTTTCTCAAGATCGAGAAGAACGGGAAGGTCAGCGGTACCAAGAAGGAGAACTGCCCGTACAGTAAGTAACAAATGCGCGCTCCCCTCCTTCCAATTATCCACCCCCCACCCCACAAGGGGGGGAAAATCTGTTCCAGATGTGGCCAGCTAAATATTTACGTCCCCAACCCCTGTAAAATGATTAAGTGGAATACTTTCACACTAAATCACTCCCCCCATACATTGTGCTGCCGCCCCCCTCCCCTTGACGCAGCTCCCTCCACACCCCCCATTCCTTGCCACCCCATCTGCCCCGTCTCTCCTTCTCCGGCTTGTCATTCCCGGGACCACGCAGGGCGCTGGAGAGTTGTTGCTGCGCCTAGATGCCCCCCTCTGTCTCCATAGCCCTTCCGCACCTCATCTCAAGGTCCCCTTTCCCTCCCTTCTGGAACTGGCTCGAGTAAACACATTTGGTTTCTTTTCGCTGGCAATCTTATTAAGAGTTTTGGGACAGTTTTCTCAAGCTGAAAATAATTATCCGCTGTCAATTATAGGGGCTTTATGGGAGCTTTATTTAAGAAAGAAAAGTCAATTCCGCTGGCTCCCCACCCCCATCTCTTTACCCTATTACCTATCTAGACAGGAGTGCAAACATTTTTCTGGTTTTGATTTTTTTTTTTTTTTTTTGGCCCCTCATGTTGGTTTGAGTGATTGCAGTCCATGAAGTTAGCTTTTCAGGCACCACCGCTGCTATTTGTCTTCTGCCTGCCTTCTCTCTTGGTAACATGATGCTCATGTCTGCATTGTCAATGGCATATGCGCTGCTTTGTGGTGTCCTGTTGTACTCGTTTCTTCTGAAACCTCTCATATTGCAGAGCCATACTACTACAGCACTGTAAACATCTGGGACTGGATTCACACAGACCTCACACAAATTTCATTGTCATTCTTTTATTTTCAAAGTAAAAGTCATGAAGTCTGTTTCCATGGCTATAGTTTGTCCCATTGGATGAGGTTTTCTGCTCAGGACAAATTATGCCCTCTGCCCCATCCATTTTCCTTTCTCTCTCTCTTTCCTTCTTTAGCTCTTTCTCTTCTTTCTTTCTTGCAGGGGTGTGGGCTGGGTAGGGGGAGGGAGAACTAGAAGAGGAAGGGTGGATATTGTGTCTCTTCTTGAATCAGTCCAGCAAAGCCAGATTACTCTGTTGGCTTCCTTTCCTAGTTACTTTCAAGTGGTGAGACTTATTCACCCTCTATTGATTGCTATTTGAAAGGATCCCAAGGCTATGTAATGGCACACTGAAGACAGTAGACAATGACGTTTAAACATCTTTAATGACCATTTAGCATTATCTCAATGGTCCTTCCAATTTACCTTTTAAAGGGACCTTTATGTGTCAGTTGTTTGGAAATTTCTTGCCAATTAACTTAAATATGTGCGTCAGACATTCCAAGATACGTTGGCCCAGAAAACTATCTGGTACTAAGGGGAAAGACAGTTAATCAGAATTTAGCATTTTCTTTTTAAATAAAAATTTACAGGAATCAAGACTTAGATTTCTTATTTGGGGATCCACATATATTCAACATTAACTTCTGTTCCTCTTCAGCTGCTGCTTCCATTTACTAAAATTAGCGATATGTTTATAAGTAGTAAAAATACTTGTGAAAGTATTTTAAAGTATTCCATCTAGACTTTAATATAGAGATGTTAAATAGTCCATTACCTTTTTTTTTCCATTCTGATTCATAGAAAGCGGCTGAAATAATGTCATTTATGATTTTTTTGTTTGAAAGTCGTTTGTTACCTGAATTCATTAGATACTGCGTTTAGATGGTAGAGTTGTTGATTAAAATTTAATACCTTTATTCACTTCTAAAACAAAATAGTTGTGCTGTCATCCAGGTAGAATTATGGGGAAGAAGTAAGCTAAACACTTGCTGAAGAGTGAGCTGGGAGTTAAAAAAAATGCCCATTGACTGAAACTCTTCTTTGTATTTTTAGTTCATGGAGATAAATATATTTTTGAAGTGTTAACCTTGGGCAAAATTCTGTTTTTTTTTTTTTAGACACTAACTTGATTTTGCTATTGGTATATTTTTTTAAATTTTTTATTGTTATGTTAATCACCATATATTACATCATTAGTTTTTTGACATTTTTTAATAATTTTTTATTGTTATGTTAACCACCATACATTACATCATTAGTTTTTGATGTAGTGTTCCATGATTCATTGTTTGTGCATAACACCCAGTGCTCCATGCAGAATGTGCCCTCTTTAATACCCATCACCAGGCTAACCCATCCCCCTACCCTCCTCCCCTCTAGAACCCTCAGTTTGTTTTTCAGAGTCCATCGTCTCTCATGGTTCGTCTCCCCCTCTGACTTACTCCCCTTTTGCTATTGGTATATTTTAAGTGTCTTTATGACATAAGGACCAATCTATACTAGCTTATTTATGCAACTGAAATTAATATTTTCTAAAATAATAATCATGTGTGCTTATTTAATAAAATGATTGCCAGGGATATAAATTGAATTATATTTTTACAATAAGAATTACCTGCAAAACAAGAGTGTATAATTTTTATTGCATAAAAACGAGTGTGGAAAATTTCCATTCTAACTGTCCAAAATACAATATTATCTCTTCCATATGATAAAGTGTAACAGTAGCCCTTGTTAAAATATCATATCTTATATAGTAATGCAATCATAATCAATGGTTGAAAATGAAAGGGGGTGGGGCTTACTCTGTTAAATAATGTCAAACCATAAATAATTTAGGCTTTCCAAGAACATCTGTATCAAGACATAGCAAGTGAAAAGTAGAGGTTGAAAAAGCCTTAATTTCACATGTGGCTGGCTAATCAGAACACTGCTACAATTTCCAGCTGGACTGATTCAGCTGAACTACATGGTATCATTAAGATATTGTCTAAATGTTGCATAATTACATGTGAGCAAACTTTTGCCATGCCTACAGGGTAACCAGCCAGCCAGCCCACCAAATGGTAGCCTGTTAAATATTAGGGTTTCTGAAGAGTGTCAGTTCCTTGTCCAAAAACCACTTTTCAGTAACATTTTCCTAAACAAGTTATTAATTATTCTCAATATACAAAGCTGTTCTTTTGAGGTCTGCTTATTTGAAGCTTAATTTTTTTTGTTACTTTTGACCCTGGTATTATTGCTGCTAAAATACAGTAACAGATTATCTAAGAGGTTACATGTTTGGGATGCCCTGGGTAATTAAACAACTGTTTTATTGGCTTTTTGCCAGCAAAATACTAACAAAAGGGAAGTAAGGAAATCACCCATAAGCATTGCAAAATCATTTTTAACTTCTACCTCCAAAGCTGGTTCCCAGAAATTGGATGGTTCTAAAAATGTTGTATGTGCTAAAGAAACTCTTCTCAATTTGGGTGATTATAACTTTTTTTTTTTTTTTTAGTGGAAGGGGTTAGTTTTGGGTTTGCTTCTATGCCATTATATGAAAATAGAATAAAGGGAGCAGAGATGAATTATGGTTCTTCTGCTAGAAGTCTGAGAAAGCTTGAATAATTTAGAATAGCTGTAGTGTATCTGTCATTAGATATGCTTAGGCTCATTTAAGTTTGTTTTATCATTTTTTATATCTAGAGCTTTGCCCTTGAAACATTACTATTCAGCTCCAGTTCTGGCCCCCTAGAAAGGCTGGATGCATCTGTTAGGTACCCTTGCAACTGGGACTGGTAGGCTTATTTCTGGATGTGGGTGGACTGTGGGCTTCTCTCATGGTTGTCACTTGTAGAAAACGGGAGTTAATAAAAAGAAAATGTATCCCTAAACTTGAGAGATCCAAGAATGGCTATTCTCAAAATGGAAAGCCACAGTGCTTATGAGTCTTTGCGGGAAAGAAGTTCAGGAAACAATATAGAAATAAGTATGTACTGCATGGCATGTACCTATTTCTTCAATATGTAGATCATTTAACACATAATGGTCCTATAATTTAGATATAACTATCCACATTTTTTTCAAAGTAAACTGAAAAAAGGAAATTACCCAAGGTCATTCAACTGGAAATTGGCAGAGTCAGGTCAAGACCAAATCTATTTGGTTACATTATTTCTTTTACCTCCACTACTGGCAACATTGATGCCAATATATTCGAATTAGACACCTCAAAACTCTAAAAAACAAATTATCCAAAATCTTAATCACTTCTTGCTAATGAACACCAACAGTTCTTCAGGTTCAAACTGGAACAGTAGTAAGTTGAGAGAGGAACAGAAATGAAACATGTTCAAGGTATCCTCACTGCAGGTGGTTACATGGTATCAGACGAGGTCAGTGCATTCTCTAAGAGAAATATCTCTTTTGATATTTTCTTTGGGAATATATTTGCTTATGGAAACACAGAATGCATGTACATGGATCTCACCTCTTTAACAGGGCATTAGAAATACATGACCATTTAAGAAAAATCCATGAATGTCATTGTATATAGTAATTGTTTACTGCTGAAGGCAAAATATTTAATTGTTCCCACATGTAGTAAAATAATTTGATTGTAAATAACAGTGTGAAATTAGGCTTTTGCAGAAACTTCTGATATATGACTCTAAAAAGGACAAAATCATAGAGACTTCAAGCTACATATATGTCTGTGTGTGTATACATATATATACAAGCCATATATATATATATATATATACATATATATATATATAAAGAAAGTTTTAAAATGAGTCCGCAAATCAGAAAGGTACTTCACCACATATAAATGACAAATTATTGTCTAGGATTAAAGGTTTGCATTATTACTTTTAAATCAGGACTAGGACTTACTGTAGGAAGTTAAATAATGTGAGAAAGTAATTATTGAGGAAAACAGGGCCTTGAATATCGTCTCCTAATAAATATACAATGGATTTTTGGAAAGAAAACCTATATACAACTTACGGTTTCCTCTGATGTCTTAATTTAAGTTGTAGTCATTTCTAGAGTTTGGTTGCATAATTTATAACTGGCAGCACTTAATCATGCACATTGAAGATTTATGAAGGCAGAAGGCACTGTATTTAATGTTTACATGA